GTTTTACATGTTTATAAGCTTGTTTGCAGTAACACTGTTAATAGTTTAGAGTTTAAATGTTAGCCAAGTGACAAACATTTTGAATTTTGCTTAATCTATTAAATGTTAATAACATGTAAGACGGATCTTAAGAAACTGAGGGCTACTCATAGATTCTTTCATTGTTTATTTCCTACTTTTGTCACGTAACATTAATGGCAGATATACCCCAGCTGTATTATTGTACTACAGCATTATATCTGTAGACTCAAGCTGTGTTGGATTGCTGTAGACTTCAAAAAAGCTGTTTTGATAATTATAGCCTAACCAAATAAAAACATTAACATTTAATTTTTGTTTTTGGTACCATATGCTATTGTAAGGATGTCTGACTGTTTTTATTAATTTCTCAAGGAAATGGAGGAGGTTCAGACCTACTCATAGAACATTAAATCATAGTTATGAATTTCTGAAAAAAAAAAATGGTGAGGGAAGTTTAGTCCCCTCTCCTAGATCCATGCTTGCTTATACAACATTTAAAGAGTACAATTATTAATTCATGAAAAAAATAGAGGAGGTACAGACCCCTAGACCCCTCCCCTATATAACATTAAATAATACAGTTACACAAATAGAAATGTAACACAGCATAAAAAATGATAATAATAACAATAAATTTACACTTTATTTAACACTTAAATAACCAGAGAATTGTGGATAGGTGCTACCAACCATTTGCCTTCTCTGCAAACCTTGATAGGGTTAATTGGTTGAGGAAGGCCCATAAGGAGAAGAAAACTCTAGCATCTCAACCTCTTAAAAAGCTACTGTTTCCATCGCAACCAAAATTATCCAGTCTAGCGTTATACCAAAGATCTCTACCAACATGGTTCTAACCAGCATCAGCTTCTGCACCATGATTTGGTCCAACATTTTCTGACTGAGGCAGTGAAGTTTGTTTAAACCTGTGTCCTAAAGCAGCTAGAAGGGACCACTGGAAAGACTATATCAATAAGGAGGAGCAGTACCTTGCATTGGAGAATCACTGGTTATAGCTTGAAAATTCTAAACTGAAGAGTGATCTTTAAAATTCCCAAGAGGTTCTCCATATTATTTTCATTGAGAAAAGGAAGTCTGTGGAGGCTTTTGAGAGACTTCTGTTGACTCCCTGAAGACACAGTGTTGTGTAAATAATGTCTGTATTATGTTTGCATCTCCACATTTTTTTCTTTTAGCTTATATTGTAATAAATTTTTATTTTGTTCAGTTATAGTTTTGTTTTCATTTATTCTGTATATAGTTTTGTTTCTATTTTAGTTTCTGTTCTGTACTTTAATTGTGCTTTGTTTGTGAGTTGTTGTTCTTTTCAATTATGTGATGCTTTGATTTTGTACTTTTGTAACTATTGTGCTTTTTTTTGTTTTGTTTGCCTTGAAGTGAAACGTGTAACTTGCTGGTTTTGATTTTATATTATATGAAACATTAAAACTGACTTTCTTTGTATGATGTATTTTAAACTTAAATTCAAAACAAGTAGACTTACCTTTTGTTGAGTAGGATTTGCTCTATCAATATTATGTGTTTAAAGTTTTGAATGTTTTGACACAGTGTAGTACTTGCCTGTAGTTCTCCATTGTTTTCCTTCCATGTGACTTGTTTGTACATGCATCAGGGGATTACTTAAGCATAACCTTCTAGCCCAAATCCAAATTTTATTATTGACAGTCATGCTGTTCTTGCCATTATCATTGTTTTTCTTCTAATTTGGAAGATTCTGCTCCTTTACTTGAGGCTTTACTTCCACATTTGACTACTGGTTTATACAAGGTTATCTTATGGCTGCTTTATTGGACTTAGTTGATCAATATATTTTGACAATATATGCTGAGTTATTTGTGATTACTTTTGTGGGATTTCCCATTCAGTTTGATGCCTATGTCATGGAACATTGTCCTTACATGCATGTTGGTAAACAAGCCCAGTCTTTTGCTTAGGTCTTTCTGCCATCTGTTTCTAAGAGCAGGACTTATTAACTGATTTTATTCGGCTGACTTGATTCAGCTTATCTCTCAAGTAAGTGCTAATTTAAATACTTATCCTATTTCTGTAATACTTCTCTCCCCATATCCTATTCCCCTTTTCTTTAAAAGGATCCAGTTTTTTCCAGAACAAGAAGCTTCAGACCTACTTCTCAAGTATGTACTGGAGACATCCCCATTCACCACTCATGTAAGTGATTTCTCAGGTTTTGTCATTAGGAGTTGGTTTGCCAATTTTTAATCCTTCCATTTGATCTAGCCCCAGCTTCAGCCATGTTTAATCAAATGGTCAGTACATTTACGGGTCTTCTGCACTACCTCAGCATAGATTTCATTTTTTTCCTTGGATGAATGGCTCATACTAGCTTTTTCACAGTTAAAGGCAAACCCACAGCTACATCAGGCAACATCTCTCAAGGGATCATCCTAAATTTGAAATCCCAGCTGATTCCTACTCTGGTTTAATAGGAATATTTGATTAATGCTGTTCTGGATACTCTTCAGCTTCTCCTTTAGCTCTTTGCGCTTTAGATTTAAGAGTATGCAGACTTATGTTTATCATACCCATATAGCAAAAGAGGACTATGGCTTCTTCATTTTATGTTGTTCCTTTGGGGTAACCCCATATGCACTCTCTTCTATGGGATGTGGTGTCTCAATGGGAAATGAGCTATGACCCTTTATCCTGACATATATCCCCCTTATTACACATTGTTGCTACCCCTCAGTTTTGGCTGGGAATTGATCACTGTGGAGTTTCCTTTTCTTCCTTTGCCAATAGATTTTCATCTCTTCACAGAAATGTTTTTTTCAGGTTGGAACACAGTTGTAGGATATCCTCTTTTTCTGGCACATGCATCTCATTTGAGGTAGTATTTTATATCTGCCTTCTCAAACCCTGGGCTGTCCATCAAGTGTATAGTCTAGTGTTACCCACTTTCTACTTCAAATCAGTTACTGCACACAGACAATTCCACAGTAGTGTCTTCTATCAGTTGTTAGGGAGCACTTGTTCTTAAAGTCTTTGTCAAGTGCTTTGTTACTTTGTCTTCTTTCTCACAGGTTCATCTTGGTGCTTGTCATGTGTGTTGAGTTTACGTAATGAACATTGTTGGTGTACTTTGGTGACAGATTCTAGATCTTTGAATTTTTCAAACTATATGGACTCTTTGCCCATCTGTTTTCTGTTGGTTGTACAATCATCTTGGACATCCTATGATCAATGCATTTACCACCTAAGACAATAGTCTTATTACTATTTTTTGGCCCTGTTCCAGATTCTTCTACTCTGCCCATTGAGGTTTTGATTCAGAATTGAAATTCATTTTATTTCTAAAAATATAAAATTTATTATGCATCAAGTTTTTGTTATATTATGATTTCATTTAGTTTTCTATGTGATTCTTTTAATTATGATTTTTGAGTAATCCTCTTTTCAGTTTACTGTTAATTACTCATCTCATGTAATTACTTTTAAGTCTACGTTATTGTGTTCACTTCTGTTTTTAGTTCTCTTTATTTTGCGATCTTATTTGATTCCTCATATGGATTTATTTACCTTGTAAGCATCTAACTTGCATATACTTAGATTTTTTTACACATTTGACTTTTAAGTTCTTAGGTTTATTTGATTTTGCTCAGTTCATTTTAATGCATTCAATTTATATGGTTAACCTGACTGTGTTTGCCTGTGTGTTTAACTAAGTTATAGTGAACATACAAGTATCATGGCATTGTGCATGTGGTCTAAGGAGGTGATTATAGGAAGTTATAACCACTTTTGTTAACTTTATAATTTGTTATTTTAACATTTCATGTTTGAGCCTAGTGAAGCTCTGAGATAAGAGAGGTGTGTATGGTGGTAGCAAGAATGGCTAATTTCATATTTTTTTAACTTAATAAAGAGTATATCTTTACTTAGGCGTATTCTAGTAAATGTTTCTGAATTTTTATGCAGGCTTATTACATAAACTTAGGAAGCTTCCTTATAAACAGTATGTAAAATGTTCATAAAGTTGCCCTAATTCTGCTTTACATATCATAGTATTATAGCTTAATAAAGGCTTGTACTAACTTGACCCTGTTTCTGTGTCATTCCCTCCTGGAGTAAGGTTGTTCTTATTTCAGGAAGTAGTACAGAGATTTGTACAAGTTAAAATGAGTTGGAGTTTATATCCCTTGAATGTATATAACTAGTGTAGTTGTTAATCAATAGTTGAGGGGTACCACACTAAGATTTTTGGTTGACATGAAAGTGTGGTATCATTATCATTATGATTGTTATTCTTGATTTCAAGCCATGGTTCCTCCAGCTCCAGCAACAACCAAGTTTCCAATATTCTTAGAATATTGAAGCTGACCAGCATTCAAAATGACTGCAGTGTTATTTTGATGAAAAATATTTTGTTTTATTCATTCACTTCTGCAAGATGTCTCAAATGTTGGCCTCCATAGGTTATATATCTATACACATTTACAGAATATGGTTAAAATATTCACCCTCAACTCAATACATGGTTAAAGATGTTCACTCCATTTCACCTCCACATACTGATGAATTCTCTGTAGTGTTGGATATTTTTGCATCAGTGTACATGAATCATGAATACCACACATATGTTGTGCATAAGTTCTATGGGATGATAAGTTTATGCTAGTCCCAAGCTGTTAACCATTGAAATAACAATAAAAATGTTAGTGAAATCTGAGCTATCATATTGCTTTATTATGTACTGTAGCCTTCTCTCTAAACAAATAACTTTTTGTACATGAATAAAATATTGAAAGTAACTTATTTAAGTACTGTCTCTGAAATAAAAGTTTCAACTATCTATTATATTTCATTGATAACTGTACAAAGTACTTAGTTTTTAGTAGCAAATCAGCTTTTTAATTGTGGTTCAAGAGTCATCTTGTATATTAAAAAAATTAATTAGTCATACTAAGGAAAATGTGTATTTAGTTAGTTTTTTCTTTCTAAAGATTGAAGAAATGTATACCAAGGAGGCTTTGAATGCAGAAGAAAGAGAAAAGAGCTTAAGGCAACGATTAGTGCATGCAGAGGAAAAAGTTCGAGAATCATCAACTGCTGCATCCAGTGCTAGGTTAGATACATGAAAGTTATTTCTTAGGTTTTAGATGATACATTATTTTTCCTTATTTCCTTTTCATCTTGTAGTTGGTGTATGGACTATTTAATAATGTGACTTTCCAGCACAACTGTAGGTGTGTGTGGTTTTTTCTCAAATGAAGGCTCTCAGATTTTGTTAAGGTCATATTTTAGGTGATTGCTTTGTTTGAGAAAATATGAGTTGTTATTCACTTTTGTGAGAGATAAATGTTGAAACAATTTAACTCGTACATTAACAAAATCCTAAGCACTATATACTGTATTTTACAATATAATTAACTATTTGTCCGTTGTGGATGCTTAACTAGTATTAGACTTAGTACTTTTTTTATGATATTTTTGAATATTGTTTTGGTTGTAGTGATATGTTTTCAGACTACTTGTGCATATTGTCTGGCCTTGTTTCCAGCTATAAACTGTACAAGATGAGGAATATTGCTTACATCGTAGTAAAAATTTAAGAAAAAGCTGAATTTAAGTACATTTGAATTCAAGTTCAACTGGAGTGAAGTTTAAAATTAATGAACTACAGTGAGATTAGCACTGTATAAAATGAAACAAAAAACAACCAAGCACAAAAATTGATTAACATAAATTAAAGCATGGGTGAAAAGTAACACATCATAACACAACTGTACCAAATCAAGAAGTATAAAGGGAGCTATCTGCGACAAGAGAGGGTGTCGTGCTCCTATTGGTGGAGGGTTTTCACATGCTTCTTTGCATGCAGCTGAACCATGTAGAAATGTGGGGGTAGGTGGGAGTTTTAAGGCTAGTAGTGAGCAAAAAGAAATGTGCATATAGAGAGTACCACTGAATAACAAAAGCTATTATGTGAGGAAGTAAGTAACTATCAGAAATATATTTTCAGTAGAGCAAAATATTAACTTCAGTGTTTTATTGCAGTTCTTTAGATTGTCACCTAGTGCTCAACTCAAGGACAATTGAACTCCCATTATCCTATAACTAATTTTTAAGGGTGCCACTTCAAAACTAACTAATAAATCATCTTGTATATTTAGATTTCATCTAGTATCTCTCTGAAATGAAACATTTCATTAATATCTTCTTTTTTTTTTTTGCCTGACAAGAGTGAGGGAATTGCCTTGCGTGTCTATTGATTATTCATTGAAACACATTTGGACAAAATGACACTCCTACATTGTAAGTTCTGGGGAGATCATAAATTTATAAAGCTGTTCTATGATTGGTTTAACATACTGCCTTGAAAGTTAGCCCTTTCATTTTTGTTTCTGTTCACAAATAGTCTTGTTATTTTGATTTGTCAACAGGTAAAATGGAAATTTTTGCTCTGTTGAAGATTCTTGATATATTTCACTTCTGCAAAGTTAAGTTTTTTTCAGGATTTTTTTGGTCTCTCTAATACCACAGATCTCAAGTTTAATAATTCAGGTATCTTAGGAGCTACTCTTTGCTAAGTACTAATATTATCATCAGATGGTAAATAAAATGAAAGTAGTGGAAATATCAAGAGCTTCAGATAAAATTTTCATTTAAGTATTTTAGTGTGTTTTTTGTAACTTAACTATCATTTTTATTTTAAAATTTACTGAATTTTTTCTGTGGTGAGACACAAAATTTATGGAGAATTCTCATCTTTCAGTCTGTAAATTATTTTGGGAAATATATTT